AAAATTAGGATCCATATAAGGGATTACACCACGTGATCCTTTGACATAGAAATTTGATTCTTGCAGGCGCGAACATCCAAAATCCGCTAATTTAATTTCCCCATGATGAATTAAGATATTACCGGGATGCTAAAAAAAAAGTATTAATTATATAATAATAAAATAATAAAATTAAGTAATAATATAAATAATTAAACCTACAAGGTCTCGATGTATAATTTTATTATCATGCAAGCATGATAAAGCACTTGCAATATCATGTGCAAATTTCAATTGACTTTCCCATTTACACTTGAAAGTTTTAACATTGCCTCGTAAATATTTTCCTAAGGTTCCACCATTTGCATATTCAAGAATAAGCGAGTAATTTTTTTCTTCTAAAGAATTTAAAAGAAAAATATGAAACTTATTATTTTAAAAAAATTCAAGACATAATTTATTTACCTTCAAATTTTACGACTCCACAAAATCTGATTATATTTGGATGATAATCCACAATTTTCATTAAACGAATCTAGGAACATAATTAATCTAATTAACATATCAAACATTATACAAAGCAACACAAGTAAAAACAAACCTCATTTAAGATGATTTCCTCGGTATAATCGTCGGCGAATTTTTTAATTGCAAATTTAGTTTGAGTATCTTTCAAGCATGCAGCATAGACTGTAGCAAATGCACCCGAACCAATTATAGATTGTATCGTAAAGTTTTGAAAGTCGAAATCACGAGCATCATAATCATTGAGGCGCAGCTGTTATGCAACAGTCGCCCTTAAATTAGTGGGGTGATTTTTTTCAGGGCGTAAAAAAAAAAACCATTTTTAATTTAGAAGGGATCATCTTGAATAAATAGCTGAGAAATCGAATTTTTTTTTCGTTAGAAGCTTAAAAATTCTATCTTCACTATTTATCTTAATAAGCTGTTAAAAGCACGCTTTATTTTGGAGAGGTCCAAATTGATATGTTTATTTTGTTAAATTAAATAAATTTTTATTTGATAAAAGTGTGGAGTCAAATATTAGTTAAGTCTAGTTTTTTGATGAAAGTTTTAACAACTTGAAATAAACAGAAGTAAAGTGATTATAGTTGTAAATGTTGTATTTTTGTGGGTAGGTGATTTTATATTCGAACCAAAATAATGCAAGGCAATGCTATGCGTTATTTGGCTGAAACTAGCCAGTATATATTTTAAGTAATCTTTATGCGAATCGAATAAATGATCATAAAAGATTGATCATTATGAATTGGATATATATGTGCGATTTTTTTAGTGTTCAATTTTGTGAAACATGCGTGACATGACATCAGCAACGCAGAATTCTATTTGGTGATCAATATGCGACACTGCCTAGTATTTGATTGTCCTCCGCAAAAGCTTTTGCTTGGTACTCATTCCATTGCTATTCTCATCAATTAATAAAGATGTTGATTTGTAGCTTGTCTTGATTATCCTAATGTTCCGGTACTCGATAAAATGTTTATAACACGTGTTTTATCGTTACCGGAGAGTTAAATAATTGATATACTATATTTCTTCGATTGTGATGGTTGTGATCCTGTTACAAAGTATATAGGAAGTCCGTGTCCAATTCCAGCTGGGGCTAGGTTAACTTCAATATTTTAATTGAGTGGCGAGAAACTTTATAAGCCGTGTAACGCGGTCAACTAATTAAAATCAAAACTATAGTAAAATTTACTATTGAAGATTTTGTAAAACTTACATGCCGAACCTAATTATTTGCTGATTTTTATTACGATTTTCCTAATAAAAAATCCTAAATCTTTAAAGTTTAATAACTTCGGTTTAAGTTAGCATTCGGACAAATTAAATGAATACATTATAACTGTGACACCTCGCTTTCTTGAAAAACAACAAAGAAAAAAGTATTTATTTATAGAACTCTGACAAAAAGATTTGTTTATTATTTCTTGAAGCGTAAATGATAATTTTTTTTGGAAAAAACGAACTGTTACATGAAAGAGACAATAATTTAGAATGTTTTTGAGCGAAAATATTGGGAATAATCTAAAGTTATTAAAGTATAAAAATAAATCGAATATTATTATAAAGAAATTTAAACTATCGGAATTACAAAAAAAAATCTTTAATAGTAAATATTACTATAGGACCAGATATAGTTTTAAATTTATATTACCAAATTATGTAATCAATTTTTTCGTGATGTCTCTTTTTTTAAAAAAAAATAAATTTATTTATTTTCTAAACATAAAATTTATTTTAATATTTTCCAATTATTCGCAATTGGTAACTAATTTTTCTACAAGTTTGAGTCGTAATTAAATGTATAATTCAAAGAATATATGTATTCTTAATTTATTTTTTAAAAAAAAAAATCTTACTAAATATAATTTCTAAATATAATTGCATTTGAAAGATGTTTTCGTGTATATAAATTTATCTTAGTTTAATAATGTTTAGATAAAACTTTAATAGAATCAAAAGTTGAAAAAAATTATAAATTATTTTATTGCCACTCACTTTTTTCTTATAAATAGTTTTGCTAATAATACGAAATATTTTAGGTGACCAGACCTTTGTAAAGTTGAACTTAAACAAAATGAATTTTTATTTGTAAATAAACATCATCTAAATTCGAAACTCAAAAAATCCGGAAATTTTTGAAAAAAAGGTTTCGAGTGATAAACAATTTACTTGAATAGTTGAAGAAAAATCAAGGCATAAAAAGTGACTATAAAAAAAATATTTTTTTCTTATACTTGATCGGCATTCGCACCAATATTTGGCGCGGCAGTAATAAAAAATAAAAAAAAAAATATTTTTAAGAACCAAAAACCAACCAATCGTTGCCGCAATAAAAACAGAGGCGAAGTAAATATCCTAGCGGATTTGTTTTCTATCAACAAGTAAATATAATAAATTAATGACGAAAAAAAAAATTCTTATGCAGAGTGCAACTGAAAATATTGCCTAAAAAAGATTATCACATTTACATTTATCAAGTAGCTAAAAATAATATATGAAATAAAATTTATGGCCGAATAGCTAGCGAGACGTCACATACTACAGTAAGATCTTCATACTATATACATGTTTACCATTACGTTCTGTTATCGTTATACAAAATAAACCCTCAACAAAGTCTCAAGGAAGCCACTCATACTCGTTCGTATCAGGCAACTAGAGATGCAATTAGCCGGGGACTGCATTACAATGCACAAAATATCAATAATTTAAAAGATTATTTATTTTAAAAATCAAATTTCAAGAAAGATTATCATCGTAATGTGATAAAATCGCTATGCCAAAAACGTGCCTCGTAATTTTTATCTTTATAATGCGATGTTAATTATTTTTATAGAAAATTTGAAAAGAACCAAAAAATTATTGTATCTAATTAAAACAAAAATTTTCTGATCAAATCACCACTATTTGTTATTTTTATTATTTTTAATAATAATTATTTTTTTTTATAAATACAAGCTGGAAATTCTTAAACAACTTAATATCCACACTGCCCTTCTTATAATTTGCATACCTTTAATCCCTTCGCGATATTTTCACTTTCGTCGTTTTAACTTTTAGATTTACGTATTTGACTTCGTATATTTTTTTAATTTCCGATTTTATTCAATTTTTTGTAATTATTCGTAATTACGCAGTAATACTTAATTGATTGGCATTTACTTAGTTTAATATATTGATATGGCGAAAGTGTAGAGCGCCGACGTTGAGGTAACACTGATTAATTGATATTATTAAATAAATTTTAACGTCACAATTACTTCATTTTTATTCAATAAATTAAGGCGATGTCAGCTGCCAATCATACGGATACGAAACTCTCTCCTGCTGCCTGATTTTTTTTTTATTCAGAACCATTTATTATTTGTTACGAAGCAAGAGATTTTTAACATGATGAACTACCCTGGCCAAAACAATAGGCCCTGTGAACTGTATTTCGACTTATATTATTATTAACTATATAAAAGAACGAAACAAAAAGTCATTATATCGTGGGTTCTTGAACATACATCGCGATACCATCATTGCTTGCAAGCACTTATGATCTCGATACTTGGGCTGGAAGATTCTTGGAAGCAACAAAGAAGTTGTTATTGAATAAAAAAAATTTTGTGGATTTAACAAAAAAGGTGCGTTTTTTAATTTGAAAAGAAAAGAGAAACTCCTATTCTGAATTAATAGGCTTTGCTCAGAGAATTACTGAGTTTGGATATTGGTACACACTCCAGGTGTTCTTATTCAAAAGGAGGATTCGTAAATGATCCTTCCTTTATTAATAAAAGTTGTATCATAACGTCATTATTCTCTCATAAATCAGAACGTGATGGCAACGGTTTGCGGATGTACTGGAAGGACGTGGGAAAGTGAGTAAATAATATATATTGTGTATTGGTTATATGATTCACTAAGCTAAATCTGCTTATTGCTGTAGAATCTGGTGAAATAAAAACGAAATGTAACTGAGGATTTAGAGAAAGAAAATCATTCATAATCCAAAAAAAAAAAAATGCTCAGTAACCATAATTTCTCTCATCTGTGTCGTTCATAGAATATACTTGCAAATGCTTTCGAAGTTTAAGAACAAGACTATTAGCAAGCTCAATGACACTATCAAAAAGAATGCAAAATCTTCGTATACTAAAGAAATATGGGATGTACAAATTCCCGATGATCATGATGATGATGACATTCAGTTGAAAAATCTTTAACAAAGACGAACTCCTTGTAACCAAAAAAGAAAGAAATACTTTCCTTTCACCACACTAATTAAGGTTGCCAGGCAAAACCCGGAGGTATCGAAATCGAAACAGTCGAAACCTGCTGTCGATACCCGTTTAACTATCAAAACCGAAGGTCCATGTTGGCATGTTCGCCAGATGCTCCATGTCTCAAAAATTTTGTGGCAACAAGCCATTATCTCATACGCAACTGGCGTTGATCTTTCGCTCTTTGCCACAAAGCTGGATACTTTGTTTTCGACTTTTACCAATATGGGAAAAGGATTTGCCCCGCAATCTTATCCACTATCCGTTACATATTATCCAAAATGTAAAAATCAAAGGGTACTTACTACAAGGGCCAATGGAGACCCACTATCAAGGGTTTATCTTTGGGTTTTTCTTTCAAAGTAAGTCGCTTCTGCTTTGATGAACTACCGAGATTTGACAGGCTGAAATTTGTGGTGATAATGAAAAGGATTATTGAGGTATTTTTTGATTTCTCAACATTGAATAAACTTACGAGATGATTATGATTATTCAAGACGCTAACATATACTATGGCAAATCAGATTTCACTTGCCACTATCTTGAAAAATTTTTGATCTTGGTGATTGAAATTAAAAGAACGCATATTTTGCAAGATTTGGTGAACAGACGAATAGAAATGCAAGAACTGTAATCCAGCAAACTTATAACTATATGGGAGAAAATGAGCTTAGGTATGGTATTCTCACCACCTATGACAATCATTGGTTTCTGCACACATTGGATTTCAAAACTCCGGAATTTTTGAGATATCTGATAAAATTTTCAGATTCCGGATTTTTAGCCGGTGTTAGCCGCAGTTTGTACTGTGCCTTAAAATGATCGTCAACTGCGCCAAATATCATACATGTTAAACATGTAATACATGTATCGTTTAGTCG